CCCCAAAACCCCAAAACCCCAGTCTTCAACTAAATAGGATATTAAGTATAATAAATAAATTAAGATATTTCATATTGAGAGATGTGTATATAAGTAGGATCATTTAATGTGGTGTCATTTTTAATCCTATTAATCAATTGCTTTATTAATTTCTTCAACTAGTTCTTACTTAATCTCATTGCTCTAAACCTTATTATTTTCGTTTTCTTAAACATCCACCTACTAAATTTCTTAATGATTAATATCATGCTCATCAATTTTCTATTTATCTTAATCTTTACTTTAATCTTTGTCTTTTTCTTCATCTTCTTTTTCCTAAACTACTATTACATTGACTGGTTCATCCTTCATCTCTTCAATCTATTTTTCATCTTTCTACTAAATTTCCATTTCATTTTCTTTATCTTTATGAACTAAAGTATCTTTATCTTTTGATTATTCCTATGCTTCCTTATTGTGTTTCTTAGACTCAATTTAAATAACTTTATATTCTTCTTCTTTGAACTCTTCGAGTTCTTATTTAACAATTTTATCTTCCTTCTCTTCTGATACTAAAATTTCAGTTTGGTTTAAGACTGTCGATCTTTTATGATTGAATTAATATTCAAAATCTTGTTTACTTTCTTCAGCTTAACACCTAAAAGTTATATCTGACCACTCAGAAATTAGATCAGTTTCAGCCATTTTCATCTTCATCGCCATTTTTACAAAAATCTTACAGATTTCGGTGTACTACTTTTCTTATTCCTTACTTACTTCATTAAAAACCTAATTGGTGAAGAATTAGAACACAAGCTTAACTCTCTCCATCTTATCGGTCTCTTCATGCAGCATATATGGCAATGCAAATTTAAAGTCTGTTTGCAATGCTTCTCTATTTTATTCCTTAAATACTTAGTCTTTTATTCCCCATTTATCGATATTACCTTTGCTAAACAACTTCTCCTTTTTCTTTTCCAGGTTATTTGACAGATTTAAAAACTCATCCTTAAATTTCAACCTAAAATCCCAGAGCTCCTAATATGACTACTCTGATAGCATAGCAGTATATTAGAGATCTTTTCTCAAATTCTGATAGAACACATCAGCCATACAATTGAAATAAGTACCAAGACTTTTTAGTCCATTGCCTACATTCCTCAGAGCAAAGTCTTCTTCAAGCATGATCACTTTTTCATGAATAGAGTTTATCTTGAGAATTAGGGCGCTGAGATGCGTGTATAAATACCCAAGTATTTTACCCATCTATTTTATTTGCTTCATAGATAAGAACATATTGTCAAATAGATCTCTGTATGTCTACAGAAACTCTGGGTATTTACTGCAAAAAATTGCAGACATAATATCAGTCTAGATTTTAACCATGCCCTCTTCAGTGTATATATTAAATAAACCCATTTCCATTGGCTTTTCCTTAAGTCTCTTTTTCAAGTCCTTGCTAACCTTTGAATCCTTCGTTAGGAAGTTGAAGAGCTCTGGTTCTGCCCTAAAGATCTCTGATGTTAACAACGATCTTAAAAATCTTTGAGAAAATCTCTAAGTTATTTGCAGTTTATTGAGCTTTACTTTTTCCAATAGAGGAGGAACTAAATAGTATGGGTATTTCTTAATGAGAAATTTCCTTAGCATTATTAAATCGTCAAATGTTCTTTTAACTTCATACTTCTCCAAAGAATCTTACAGTTCCATTCTGATCCTAAGCTATATTTTTTGATTCTAAGATTTTAGTATTCCTGAATTAATGAACTAAATCTCGAATACTTCGCAGTCAATAGAGTTATGATTCAGAGTAGTCTTGACTATCATATTGGTCTTTTCATATAACTTAAAAGTAGATGATATAGCCTTCAGCATGATAGAGTCTTCACCGTCTATCGATTCGATCACTGTAATTCTCTTACCTCCTAAGAACTAAGTGAATTCATCTTATTCTTAAGCCTGCTATGCCCCAAACCCAAAGTCCTAATTAGGGTTGTTCTCCTGATCATTGGCTTATCCATCTATGCCGTTCTATCCCTCATAGTATATCTGATTTATCACCTTTGGTTAGTGAGACTACTTGAATTCCTACACTGCTTCTTACAGTTCATCTAGTGCCCAGTTGTCTATTTCCATAACATCATCATCTACAATCCCATATTTATTTCCCAAATACTACTTACCCTTCTTGCTTATAAGAAATCTTACAAAGTCATTAACATCATAATCCTGCTGCTAGATTTCATTAATAAGAAACTGTTGCTTTTTCCTTCTTTCCAACTCTTGATACTTCTTAATTGTCTCCTCTGTACTGAGATTCTCTGCTTTTAAACTACTCATCTTGTGATTTAATAAATATTTGATTAAACTATATAAATCTTATCTAATTATTATTTTACCATCTATCTATTGTAGAGGGGTTTTGGGGTTTTGGGGTTTTGGGG